GGACCACTTGTCTCTCTGGACTATCAGAGACATCACCCTATTCTTAAGTTTGTTTTATAAATAAATAAATTTGATTAATTTATTCTAAGTTTTATTTATTAATTTATCTTTCATTGAACTTGTAATAAAATTTAAAGAGATAAAGATAAATTAAAAAATACTATTTAAAAATGGATAAAATTAACAATTATTTATTTAAAACGACTGGTATGTTAAATTAGAGTTTATATAAAATGGTTAACTATTTTTTTTATTTTGTAAAAGAAGTGTTTTTTTTCTTTGTTGATTAGCTTTATATGTGGTGTACACTTTAGGGTTAATGCTTATGCAACTACCAAATAGGTTAGTTCCATGTTTGTACCAAAAATGGAAGCCCAAAAGCCCCAAGTTAATGAACTTTTTGGGCAAGTAATAAGCTTGTAGGCTCATGATGAAATAGTAATCTTCTACTATTTGACAGCGACATCCACAATGTCTCTAGTTTCTATTATTTTCTATTCCACTACCAAGTGCAAGATGACTATTAACTAGGCTATGGAGAGCAATTGGTTGTTCTTTTCATGGCTACACGACCCATGCAATTATTCTTCTCATCCCACCCCCAAAAACAAAGGAATCGTGGAGAAGGGACACGATATCTTGCATAATTGCATTTGTGTTACTTACATGAACAATGGCTCTTAGATTCATTCATATGAAGTTTAAGTATGTAAATGAATTGGTCACATCCTTTGTTTTTGGTTTGATTTTAGGTCCATATGTCGCTACTTGTTTCATGACACGTGGTGAAAGGAGACATTAGAATTATGAAGCTTGCACAAAGGATGGTTCTTTAGAGAGTAATAATGATAATGTCTCTTTTGCACTATCCAATTTAAGTGGCTTGTCACCCATTGAATGCTCAAGTGTCATGCTCGTATCTCTTCTTGTGCACTATTTTTTTTTTTTTTTGGGGGTTGGAAAAGGAAAGACTCGACTTAACCCGTGTGGTTGTTGAATTTGTGGAGGAAAGGAGATAAGTGGGATACAGTTTTAACAAGGGAATAATATAATTAAAGAATGTTATGTTGTCAAAACTTTTAAGTTGTTAAATACTTATAGTAAGTTTTTTTTTTCTTTAAATGTACTTATTCCACTTGAGATGGATTATTTTTGTAAGCAAGAACTCCGAACATGTTAACTTAGTAGTGAGAATTGAAATAATATGTATAAAGTCTTAAAAGCGTGTCTCTATTGTTAATGAGAATTGTAATTCCTAAGTATATATAAAAAAAACTCTAATTATCCATTAATGCTGCATGTGTATTATTGTATTTAAGAATTCCATATACATCCTCTCAAGAAAAAAAAAATCTTTATAGAATATGTTGATAGCATTCATTCTCTATAGTGCATCTCTGCGTTGGTTTCTGAATGGACTCGTACCATATAAAAATGCTATATGAACACGACGGTAACAAAGAAAATACTGTAAAAGAAAGAAAGGCATACAAAGAAGTTTTCAAGTGGAAACGCGAGTAATCTTTTATTTAGTTTTTGACAGAGACCAGAGTGTCTAAATATAATGACAAAATTCTAGATTTCTGAAACTATAAATTCATGGTTAACATTAATTAAGTTAATTAGAACTATCTCGGGTCAGTTCATTATAAATGTTTTTTTCTCAGTAGAAATGTTTAATATGTTAAAAAGAAGGTACAAAATCTAAATGTTCCGTTAATGCGTGACCTTCGTAGTATATAAACATGGTGATATAAATTAGCTTTATTTTATAGGTAACAAATAACCTTTATGATACGATTGGTGAAACTAATATAATAAATTGAAAAATTATAGCAATGCTTAGTTAATATGAATCCGTTTATATAGTACGTACGTGCAGAATGGATGGGAAGAGTAATGGTGCGGACCAGCTTACTAGATGCTGTATATGTGTATAAGCACTCTCTATATAGGTATTATATATGATCTGTTGATCTTAAATTGAAACACAATATTTGTTTAGGGTTTAGGGTTTATAAAAGGGTATTCACTTTGTATATATTTATCGTTTATAGAAAAGTTAGTTATTATTTTGATTGGTATTTCATTCTAATATTAAGATTAGAAAAATCTTATTCAGTGTTGAACTCTCCTTCCTCCAATACCTATGTTGGTGGAGAAAGAAAAGAGTGAACAAATGGACGGATTGGATTAAGAAGCACCTACTCCAATTTACATGTATATGTGCCTCCTTTTCATTTGGTGACTTAATTACACTTGCCCTACATATACAATGCAACTATCAACTATGCCGACAACACCTCCCTCTCTATGCAGTTATAATAAGGATAAAGATGCATGCACAGTGAATTCATTTTAAAAATATTGTTTCCAAACTTGAGATAGTACTATACCATTTTCGAATTCTGATGTACTCATTATAATTATAATAGATAAAAGAAATTGAAAAGTATTGATATGAAAATTATAATTGTCTTCAACATATTATAAGTTATTTCGAAAACCTGACCTGTTAAAAATTTAACTTAATTTAAGTAAATATTACACAATATCTTAAACTTGAACTTTATTGTTTTTCTTTGTGATTTAAAAAAAAAAAGAACAGTGTAAAAGTCAGAGAAATTTCTCAAAAGGGTTTTACTCTATCATATAACTTTCTAATAATAACTTTCGTTTAGAAGCAGAAAGCAGAGTATTCTTGTACCAGCATAACCAACCATGATTCCTTTGGTTTTCTACAGTACTACTTGGGCAACGTAAAGATGAAAAAGAGAAAAAAAGTACCCAAAAAAACAGTCATAATTATCACGAGACTAGATTAATTATATTAGAAAAGTGTAAATGTATCTTTAAGATGATATGATTAGGGTTAACGCGTCCAAAATAAAATCCAGTTACAAGTTGTGCCCATACTAAATAACGAACCACTACTGAGTGGACTGACGCACTGGGTGCGTTACAACCAAACGTGGTTGCTAGATATTTAAGTGACTTCAATGTGAAACAATAATCTAATCCATTTCTTTATCACATTACTTTCATCATCTATTTGTTTATTCTATAATGTTAACATCTTAATATTTATTCCCTCTAGTATTTTATCTTGATAATTAATTAGCTTTTGATAAAAGTAATATGTAGTTATATGTATATCTGTATTGACTATGATTAACAGACGCAAGGAATTACGCAAATATAAAATTTTAATTCTGATTAGATGATAACATCAATGAGAGAATTGTAGTTAAAGTTTTGTTCTACTTGTAATTGCAAGGGAAAAATATTTTAAAGAAATAGGTAATTTGGTTGTTGTGTAGGAATGATGTCCCAGAAGGAATAATGAGGTATGTCATTAAGATCACACCTTTTTCCGCAATCAATTGAATAAAACCAGGACTATTAACCACTAAAACTTTTTCAAAGATTGCCTGTACTTCCAATCTTTTGTTATTTTGTTTTTAATCGAGGGGAACATCAAACAAACACTTATCGTTTGAGCCCTGCACTATTCACGTGGTGGATTTGTGAACGTAGCTAAAGATTTTTACGTACTTTGCACATTCCTCTTCCTTTTTTATATCCTTTGAATCTATAGACTAACCAAGATGAAATTGGAGAAAGAAAAAGGGTGGCAGTATAAATTAAATACCAATATCTTCTTTCCATTATTTTCTTTGGTTTAAATTTCAATCAGGAATCCGAACCTTGAGATATGCGGCAAGTGCATGGATCTTCCAAAAAACAGTTATAATAGAACAAAATTAGGCATTTTTCCATTGTAATAAGAAATTGGTTCTAATAAATGATGACCCTGGCCCTTGAGGGGTCAACATAGGGTCTACATGTACACATCATTATTCCAATCAATCCTCTTGCTTATTCCATAGTCCCTTGTGAAAGAAAAAAAAATGCCTATCACCTAGACCTCAGACCTGTACTATAAATATGACTACATCTTTGCTTTCAATTGCATAAAGCTTTCTCTTGTTCATAGCTATTCCTACTTCACTTTAATGCTTTAGTTTCTAGCATTGATCACTCCTAAATACTTGTTGCATTTCTCTACTGCTTATGCTTGACACTTTGTCATTTAACATGGAACTTAATTTTAAGCACCAACTTGGCCTTCTCTGTGTCACACTGCTGTTACCTGTCCTGTGTACCTCTCAGGACTCTTTTACTTGCTCCAGAGCAACCTATTATGGTAGCCCAGATTGTTATGGAAATCCAAGTATGTGAGCCTTATTTTCTATCTATTCTTACACTTGTTCATATGTGGGGTGTGTACCAAGCACATTTTTATACTGTCTATGCATTTATATTGGACAACACTTAGATAAATTCATAGTATCTTTGCCATCAAATTCATCCAGATGATGACACAAATGTTCAATTCAATAATAAATAGCTTCTTTTATGTGCTTACACCGTTAAAAAAAATAAAAATCATATAATAACTTTATAAGTAATTATTGGAAAAGACAACAAAATTATCATATATTTATGATTAGATAACTTTTTTTACTATCAGTATATATACTATTTATTTTTATCTAGGGTTTTAGAGTTAAATTCTTCAATTAAATAAAAGTAAATAGTATAAAATGATATGTTCAACTACCCCTAGGGATTATGATGTAACCATGTTAACGGATGGTTGGGGGCATATCGTGACACATGATTCCACATATTTTCAAACAGCAATTTTCTTTTCTTTTCTATTTTTGAAATAAAGAAAATTTGTTTGAAGAATTTGCATTTGGAATTGCTTGCTCCTCTTTTATGATAAAGGGCACACTGTGTGAACAATAAAATATTCAAGCCAGACATTATACTACTTTTTGCACACACATGAACTGATAGGTCAATTGATAATGTTCTAGGGGGAGCTTGTGGCTTTGGTGAATATGGAAAAACGGTAAACGATGGCAATGTCGCAGGCGTGTCTTGGCTTTGGAAGAATGGATCTGGCTGTGGAGCATGTTATCAGGTCACTTCAATTTAATGAACTAAATAAGAAAAAACTACACTACTTTAGCCTTTCTCATATAAAAATCTCAGTACCACAAGACATGCCCTTTTCATGTAAAAAATATTTAGTTTATGGACTTTCATATTCCATACCACTAAGGCCCCTAGTGTAAGAATTGATTACCTGTCGCAGGCGTGTCTTGGCTTTGGAAGAATGGATCTGGCTGTGGAGCATGTTATCAGGTCACTTCAATTTAATGAACTAAATAAGAAAAAACTACACTACTTTAGCCTTTCTCATATAAAAATCTCAGTACCACAAGACATGCCCTTTTCATGTAAAAAATATTTAGTTTATGGACTTTCATATTCCATACCACTAAGGCCCCTAGTGTAAGAATTGATTACCTGGATCCTTCAAATCATATACATATGATAATATCTTTCCTTTCTTTTAATAATGAATAAAATCTTCAGTGAAAGAAGACTTGATCATTGAAACATAATATAAAGGAAAAAGTTTGCCAACCTCCAGTCGTAGTTGCTATATTTGAGAAATAAATATGATGATGTATCAGGTTAGGTGCAAAATACCACAATTCTGCGATGACTATGGAGCATACGTGGTGGTGACAGATTATGGTGAGGGAGACAGAACAGACTTTATAATGAGTCCACGTGCCTACTCAAGATTAGGGAGAAACGCAGATGCATCAGCAGAACTGTTTAAATACGGTGTAGTGGATGTAGAATACAGAAGGGTCCCTTGTAGATACGGTGGCAATAACCTCTTGGTTAAAGTCAATGAGCACAGCAGAAACCCTCACTACTTGGCCATTCTCATTCTTTATGTTGGTGGAACTTACGACGTAACTGCTGTTGAGTTGTGGCAGGTATACATGTTCTCAGTCTGAATGTTATTTATACTATCCATCCTCATACCATAAATTTGTTCACTTATATAATGATTATTTTAAATATTGTATTAATATTTTAATTTATGCCATGTCTATACATATTTATTATATATAATTAAATTTTAAATTTATAATAAATAATTTATATTATAACATTTTTCATCTTATTGTTTATAACCCGTAACTCCTCCATGTCGTGGTCTAACAATTGATATTATAATTACCACAAATATATTGGTTCCTGGTAAAAAAAATTTTTGGACAGCTGGTTATTTTATTTTAGAATTAAACTCATGATATTCTTTGTCTATTATTTATCACTCGTACTTAATACTTATTTATTTGGTCTATGTTATCATTACTTTAGGTATTAGCTTCATACCTTTTCTTTAACACTTCCTCATGGTATCATTTTTTTTTTGTGCGCATGTATAAGCCTTTTGTTTAAATTCCTTTATACATTTTTATGTTTATTTTCCATTTTTACCCCCCTTTTCATGGTCTTTCTATTAAGTTAGCTTGGTTTCTTTTTATAAATAAAAAATATACAATAACACTACTAAAATTTGAATTTACAACTTTTTGTATATTATCTCCACTTTACTACTAAATTTGTGTTTGAATTACGGTTGTATTGAATATATAACACTTTTTTTTTTTTTTGCTCCGCACATTAGTGAGGCTATCTTTCCATTTTGTGCTTTGGAGTGTCCATACAAATATTTGGTGTATTTGAAATGAGAATCTAAACACAAACTAGACACTAAGGTTGATTTTATTAGTTGAATTAGTTTGGCATCTTTCACCCTCTGACCCATCCCATGTAAGGAAAACACATTAGGTAAAAGTGAATCAAAGTGTTTTATCTAGTAATGTCATCCAATTTTGGAGTTGGAATACTTGCCAATTAGAAACGACAAGTGAAATGTAACCACCCTATAAATTAAGTGGAAGATTAGGCCCATTTGGGCATATATGGGTGAGATTGAGTCAGATTGATAAAGGCCTTTTCATACAAAAGAGTATTAATAAATAATAGTAACATAGATGGGTGTTAATATTGTGGATTTGATTGTGCAAAGAAGCAAAAAGGGAAGGTGGGTTCTGATCAGGATTTGCAACTGACCAAATACATGTTGCATGGAAATGAGCACCCCAAGAATGTAAGCTAGGATGACACCTTTTCCTTTTTAAAATGCAAAACTTCTCAACTTTAAAGATCATCAAATATTCTTTCGTTTAAAGTTGTATATTAGTATAGACCAAAAAAAAGTTATGTATTAGTATATCCGTTTAATTCAGTTACTTTCCAAATCAATGCTAGTTTTATTCGAGCTAAAACTTTGTGTAACTCCAATTAACATATAATAAAAATATATTACACCTTAATTTAAATTTTTGTAACGAAATATTAAGTAACTTTTTTTAATTTGTAAAAAAAAGTTGTGCACCTAATCTATTCAAAAATAACTTTTAAGTTAACAGAAAAATCATCAAAATTTAATATATATTATCGGTTATTGAATAAAATAATTTTATCAAAATTATTACCAAAGTAGTTTGATATTCATTTTTACTCTTTTCTTAAACTTGTTTCTTCCTCTATAATTACAACATATTTTTCAAGTGTTATTGACAAAACTTACTTTTAGAAGGAATATATGATAATAATAATAATAATAATAATAATAATTATTGGAATATAATTCACCTAAAGACAAAGAAATTATTAAAGTGAATAACCTTGTCAACATACTTTCAGAAATTTATTATTTATCAACTATGTTAGATCTTGTAGATAGAATGACCAAAACATAAAGTTATTAAAATATTCTAATTTGACACCGTGTAATGATGTCACACTGATAGTGCATTGTTGATGCTTCCTTTAGTGCATTACATTGGACTTATTTGACATTTATAAGTTTCTTAAATTGATGAATTAGTTGAGATTTATTTTAGTGAATTATTTTGGTTTCAATTTTAAATTATAGTTAACTTTCGTAATTTTTGTTAGCTTTAGGTGAATTATATATTTATTGATAATTTATTTTAAAATATTAATATTTAATTTGTAAATAATTATAATAAATAAAATTGAAATAAATAAGAAATTAAAAAAATTCCTATAAACTGTTTGGTCGAAAAAAAATTCTTAAAAATACTCAAACATAAAATAGAATAAAGATGATTCGCGTTTAATATACAACATTTGATTTTTTAGTAGTTCAAAATTTTAAAACTTACATGGTTGTTGTGTATGTCTGGGTGTTGTTTATATACAATCAGTCACTTGAAACTGAATTGGGTTGTTGAAATGTTAATGGAGCAGGAAGACTGCCAAGAGTGGAGGCGAATGCGCAGGGCTTTTGGTACTGTGTTTGACGCTGAGAACCCGCCAAGGGGTGACATCAAGCTGAGGTTTCAACTGAGTGGTAATGCAGAGCAGTATTGGGTGCAATCGAAGAATGTTATCTCTAGTGATTGGGAGGCTGGGGCTGTGTATGACTCAGAAATTCAGCTTGGTTAAAATGAAAAAGCACTTTCTGATCCCAGGAATATAGATAGTGACTAGATTACCAGTGTTTTATTGTTTATGGTTTGTGTCATTCTAAGAATGTTCCTGTGTGTGAATGGATCCAGTGCTCTTTGTATTGGGGACTAAAACTGTGGGGATTCATATTCTTGAGATATGGATCATCACAGAATATGAATAAATAAAAGATACGCTTTCACTACTACTGGTGGTTATGTCATTGGCAAACTACTGTACTTCAGTGGGTCACTTAAACTAATATCTAATGCCTCCAATAAACCAAGCAAAGCCATCATTGGTTTGCGCTTAACAACTCTGACAAGGACACTAGTGGAATGTTGGAAGAAAATAAAAACTATAATTCTATTAACACCTATTTTGGCATCTCAATTTCATATTGTCAGGACAGGCTACCTGGATTGGTATCATACAGGTTGGCTTAGTGTGGGTTGCAGACTATAGTAGGCCAAGTAAAAAAAAAAAGTAGTTAAAGAACCTGAAGATCAGAAGCTTGAGCGGGGCAATCTAGCTCTGAAGAACAGTAGTAAGGAAAAGAATCCTGTTAGGGTGATACGTGGCACTGAATCGATGGATGGAAAGTGCAAGACATATGTTTATGATGGACTGTATGAAGTTGAGTCATGTTGGCAGGATGTGGGACCACATGGGAAGCTGGTTTTTAAGTTTCGTCTGCGAAGAATCCCTGGTCAACCAGAGCTTGCTTTGAAAGAAGTGAAGAAATCTAAGAAGTTCAAGACAAGAGAAGGTGTATGTCTTGATGATATTTCTTATGGAAAACATCGAATTCCCATATGTGCTGTGAACACCATAGATGATGAAAAACCCCCACAGTTTAATTACATAACTAGTATGATATACCCCAATTGTCGTCTTGATGATCTAGAAGGATGTGATTGTACTAATGGATGCTCTGACTTTTAAAAGTAGTTTAAGTTCGGTGAAAGACGGTCTTTTGTTGATCTAGTATGATGATCAATTCCTAATTCAACCAGTACGACCAACTAGTTTGGCACAATTCTGATAATGCTATTTGAGACAGACAAAGACATTAATGAAATAAGAATGATGTATGAGTTGAATTGGAATCACAACTAGTTTGAAGGATCTTCAAGGCCTAGTTTCATGGAATCACAATTTTACATATAAACGAAGTTTAATTCATTTTACATTTTGATTTCTTCACTTATAAATATTTATTAAAATTCATCTAAACTAGGTCTTTGAAAGTACGGACAACAACAATCATAGTGGTTCAAAATCAAGTTATAGAATTTTTTGGTTATTATAGTATGCATTGACTGTAAAATAACGCTACTCCATTAATTATCCGCCCTCAATACATCCTGCCAGTGCATTCCACGGAACCACAATAGCAATACTTCTTTTTTACATTGCCATCAGAATCACGGACTTGATCTATTGCATAATTATAATCGTAAGTCAGCTCTTGTAAGGGAGGAATATTCTCAGCAGCAAAGAACATTATGTGAGGCATTCTGTTGTCATGATGATCATAAAGGACATTCTGAGCATAAAGATTAGGGGAGCAACTATGATTAATGAATCTACCCACGTTACCAAACTGAGCAGCGTCAATGGTGAACCCACCATCCTTCACAACTTCACAGGAACTTGTCTGTGCATCAGGCATGACAGTCAAAAGTTCATCCAAAAGAGTGTTGTTGCCGAAGTTATTTCCAATATCAAAAAGATACTCGTCATTACCAGTTCTTTGTTCAGCTTCCTTGTCTTCAAGAAGCTCTCCTATATATTCGCAGATAAAACTTCCCGAAGGGATTGAATTCAGGGATCTCACACCCCATCCCCTTGTACTGGTTTTGAAAATTTCAAGTTGAAACTTTATGCCAAGTTGACTGACTCTATTGTGGCATGTTGAAGGACACTTACAAGTAGGACCACACTCATAGACTAGAGGTTTTGCTTGTACAATAGCCTCATTGTGATTGAATGGGATCTCTCCCCCATTTTTCACTCCACATGAGCATTTCCCTAAGTCAGAGCATCCATTAGTACAATCACATCCTTCTGGATCATCAAGACGACAATTGGGGTATATCATACTAGTTATGTAATTAAACTGTGGGGGTTTTTCATCATCTATGGTGTTCACAGCACATATGGGAATTCGTTCTTTTCCATAAGAAATATCATCAACACATACACCTTCTCTTGTCTTGAACTTCTTAGATTTCTTCACTTCTTTCAAAGCAAGCTCTGGTTGACCAGGGATTCTTCGCAGACGAAACTTAAAAACCAGCTTCCCATGTGGTCCCACATCCTGCCAACATGACTCAACTTCATACAGTCCATCATAAACATATGTCTTGCACTTTCCATCCATCGATTCAGTGCCACGTATCACCCTAACAGGATTCTTTTCCTTACTACTGTTCTTCAGAGCTAGATTGCCCCGCTCAAGCTTCTGATCTTCAGGTTCTTTATCATTGTTCATCACATTCCCACCCTGCCCTGTATATATCAAGACATCTGAATTATCCAAATCATCTGCATAGCCACCTGACGCAACAATACTAGTTGCAAGGATCTTACCATCGTGCTTCACATAATCTATACCACCCTGAATCTGACGATGAAGACCAACTATATTAAGCTCCACCCTATATTGAAATTCATCACCAACTTCAACCCCGGGGACAGAACCCAGTATCTGCTTGCCTAAGTTAACATATTTCCCATTCTCCTTAAGGATCCTTGCAGCATGTAAATCAATCCTCTTACCATTTGCTCGCTCATTTAGCTTTGATTCTACTTCCCGTAAAAGCTTTCTAGAAACAACTTGAAATAACTGTAATGTTTCCCTCACCTTTTTACGGGTCACATTTGCATCATTCTCATCACCAGTGGAATTAGAATGAGTATAGGGAGTAACATTTACATCGAAATCAGATTTCAAAACAATTTGTAGGTCTTCATTATTTTTAGCATGGTCAAGACAATCTTCCTTTTCCCAAATTAATAATTCATCCATACCTCCTGAAGCAGCATTCCCCTTTTTCTTTTTCAAAGGCTTCTGCCCAGAATGATTTGGTGCACCTTTAGTCTTGATAGCTGTTTTAGAACTGTCAGATGATGCAAAAGAAACCACTTTCTTTCTCTTGCCTTCATTTTTACCACCAACCAACTTAAATTTGGAGGAACCTTTATCAGAACTCCAAGGACATTCAGATTTAGCCATCAAACCTAGCACTACTTTCCTGTCTGATGAGACCTGCAATCTATTGAAATTTTCCTTCAACTTTTGCTTAGAACGAGACATATTCAAAGGCTTTGTCTTGAGACTTTGGACAGGGTGAACAAATATCTCTAGCCCTGATGTTTTGTCAACTGGTACACCATCCCTATTTTCCTCTTCTCCCACCACCTTTGAATTTATTTTAACCTGACGATGATTGCTTTTTTCAGGAAGTGTAACGTACTTTTGTCTCTTGTTTTCCGGAAGCATTTTCATCTCAGATGATGATTCAAATACATGCAGCTTCTTCACTCTCTCTACAGCATTCCTTTCAGAATCAGTTTGAACAATGTCCACAAGCTTTCTCTTGCAACCATATTCATCTTGAATGTTATCTTTAACTTCTTTCGCATCAGTGGCTGCTACCTTTTTCAATGGACTGTCATCTACAGCAAGGCTCTGTTGACCCACTTTTTTGTTTTCCGAAGGGATCCCCTCTAGACACACATTCTTACTGAGACATGTGACATTGCGTCCACATGAAAGAGGGAAGTTTCTAACAGCTGAAACTTTTCGACGAGGAAGATACCTTCTAGTTACAGGCTCCACCATGCAAGCATGGGAACCAGATATGTTGACATTGAATGATAAGGGCTCTGAACCACTTAACATAGCCAACTCACCCGGGGAATATGACTTCAACATATAAGAGGAGTCACATTTTACAGTGTTTACGGTTATTGCAGACTCTGTATTCAAAATTTCCACGTCCACTAATGGCACTTTTACATGTCCATCTTCAGCAGTAGGCTCGTCCACTTGATGACATGAGACCACAGGGTTTTCCTGATTCAAACCAGAGTCAGTTTTTTGACCAAGCATCACTTTTGCAGGTTCATCTTCTGCAATAGACCCATCCAGATGATGAGATGAGACCACTGGGGTTTCCTGATTCAAACTGCTATCAAATGTTTGGCCAATAGTCACTTTCGCAGCTTCATCTTCTACAGTAGGCCCATCCACTTTATGAGATGAGATCACAGGGTTTTCATTATTCAAACCATAGTCAGTTGTTTGGCCAAGACTCACTTTTGCAGGTTCATTTTCTGCAGTAGGCCCATCCACTTGATAAGATGAGACCGCATGGTTTTCCTTATTTAAACCACAGTCAATTTTTTGGCCAAGAGTCTCAATAAGATGCGAATCTTTTAACTCAGAATGTTGACCATTGTTTTCACACTCGGATGTTTCAAGAATATCACCCCCTAAATGTTCACCATTCTTATCCTCAGCAATTATACCATTAAGAGAACCACAACCCACATTATTTACATTTAAGACTGGATCAATCCTTAAAGCAAATGGTCCACATCCATCTGGAAAATCACGTATGGCAGAAACCTTACGCCGCTTATACATAGGCCTAGGAAGGAAAACATGCTCCCCATTTTCCATCGCTGACTTCTCATAGCTTTTTTCAGAATGACCATTATTGACAGGTGTTGTCATTCCTCTTGACGACTCAAAATTCAGCCCAATCTCCAAACTCCCACTCCCCACAAGAAATGCCAAAAATCACATGCCCTGTTGAAGAAAGGTGTTCAAATTAGAAAAAGAAAGCAAATATTTCCATATAGATTAATAACTCAATCATAACTTCTGTAGTACAAATAAGAGAGTAAGACGCTTGTTCAACAAAAAAGTAATTTTTGTCCTCTGACAGCACACTTAAGTTGCACCTTTATGCAACTCAGACATTTGCTTCTTGAAAACTTGAGCTCACACTTCCGTATGAATGGAGACACTAATATTATTAAAAAGAAAGTGTTTGTTAGAGTTTGTACTTCATATGGGATGATAGTCTCGAAGACCAACATGGCTGGAATGAGACAAGAGTTCCAGAGTGCAAAATACAATTAGATAGCCACTATATAGTGGCTCTATATCACTAATGCAGCGCAGAATTTCTCAAATTCACAATCACACCCCCATTTGCTATTGCGGTCACTATGGATGTTTTGCTTTTGGCATTCAACGTGATTTTAAGGAATGGATGTGGGACATCACATGACTTTCTGAAGAGTGTAAAACCAATTAAACTTCTGCCATACATAAACTTGTGCTAAGGAAGGACTCCTCCATCAATATTTGTTCATCTCCTTCGGCATCCCCTTCTTATCTTTGATTAGTCTCCATTTCAGTTTGTGAGACTTCAATTTTTGATACATATACAATTCATATATTTCAACCACTGTCTTCTGCAATTTGTTACCTTCTATATGATATAATGGAGAGTGAAGAGAACATTTTCAATTTTTTAACATTTTGGGGTGACAGTTCATTGTTCCGGGCATGAATAACCCTAGTTTTTTTCTTTCAAAAATACCCCTCTTCAAAAATCATGTGCATGTCAAATACATATCCACATAACCTAACTATTAAAAACAAAAGGTTTAATATTGCAGTCAAACATCATTCGACCTAAACTCGCTAATCTAATGCGGTTAAAATAGAACAAGAATCAATAATCCAGACATAGACATAGAAAAAGAGAAAAAGAAAAGACAATAAAGACGTAAAGTTGAGAAATATTAGGGTGCGATGGAGGAATACCTTGAACGAAATGAGCAACGAATTAGAAATAGGAGTGAGTCGTGTGAGTATTAGCCAAGAGAAATAAAAATCAGAAACCGTCCGTTCGTAACTCTGATGACGACCTGAAACATGCAGCAAAATGTAAAATTGAAAATGGCATGAGAAAGAAAAAGAGAAAAAATTGGGAACAAACATTGAAATCAGAAGGTACAAGAAGAGGACGACAAGCAGAGGGAAAGGGTTTGGAATGCGAGAGCCTCACTACTTAGATTAGTTTTAAGTATTTAAGAAGTGCCATTAAAAAACTATTAATTACCATTTTTCTAATAATTTTTTTAAAAAATTATTTTTTTTAGTCTTTATAATAACTACCGATTTAAAATAATTTATTTATAAAATTTTAAATTGGTTGTTTTTTGTGTTAAATATATATATATTGATTTATTTATTTATTATATAAATTATTAACATAATTTCATAGTAAAAATGAATAAAGTTAAGAAAATATTTAATTTATTATTTTAAAGTTTAATTTTAATTTGTTTAAATGAGTAACATTAATTTAGATTAAAAAAATGACAAAACTTAATAATTTATTGTAGAATTTTTTTTATAATATATTTTGTAAAAAACTCAAAAGAAATCCAATTTCCAAGTAATAAATAAAAATAACTGTAATATAGTTTTAAATTTTTTTTGAATAAATTTATTTGATTATAAGTTTTAAAATTAATTTTTGTAATTTTAAAACTATTAAAAAATAAATGAAATTCAAAATTCAAAATTAGGCATAATTTAAATTTTATTTTTTAATAAGTTGAGAAAAATTAAATTCATTGTAAAAATAATGAAAATAAAAATAAAAATCATTGTAAAAAAGGACTAAACTTACATAAGTTAGTGTAAAAAATGTATAAATTTCAAAATTTAATGTAGATTTTAAAGAAAATTTGTGGAAAACAACTCAAAACAAATCAAATTTTCAATTAATAAATAAAAATAACTTTGATTTAGTTTCAAAATGTTGATTAAACTTATTTAATTATAAATTTTAAAAGGATTTTTTAAAATTTAAAACTATTGATAACAAAATAAAATTTATAATTTAAAATCCAAAGTGAAAATTTAAAATTTATAATTTAAAATTCAAAATTCAAAATTTTGAAATTCAAAATTCAAAATTTAAAATTTAGAATTTAATATTTTAAAATGAATTTTTAATATTTAAATCAATTAATAATAAATTAAATTTAAATTTTAAATTTTAAATTTTAAAATTTAAATTCAAAATTTAAAATTCAAAATTTAAAAATTAAAATTCAAAATTTGAAATTTAAAATTTAAAATTTAAAATTTAAAATTTAAAATTTAAAATTTAAAATTTAAAATTTAAAATTTAAAAT